TCTGTAGATCTAATGTATATTTTAAATGCAACATTATGGGTTGATTATATAATTTAGTTCTTGGCAATAACGTAAAATTTGAGAGTTTGTACAATCTCTAGACTCCAGAAATAGGATGGAGAGATGATAATTCAAAAATAATTATCTTTTTACCTCATGAGACTGAAAATTTCAAATATTTTTTTCTTCCTAGCTTTCCTTTTTTAAAAATATTGGAGTTTAATATTTTTACCTCACTTACTCAGAGGGTTATTTGGCAAGCTACAGACCTATAGAATTACATCATTAAAACCCATAGAAAATAACATCTTTCGGAATTCAGTTTTCATGTTAGTGTCTTTCACTAGGAAATATGTGGGATGATTAGTGTTTTTTTTATTATTATTATTTCCCTCAATTCTCAAAGCTCATGTTTTAGTTTTTCAAATAGAAATTAAGAAGTGATGCAGACTAATAAATTTTGGCAATGCAAAGACCGATTATATAAAATCATTGTGTCTGGTTGGGGTTCATCCCTTTCATTTGAACTCTTTTGCATTTATATTTTTGATGTCTAAAGTTCAATTAGGAAATAAGCTGAATGCACGGAGTGACATAGGTACTTTTGGAATGTATCATAATGTAAAACCCATTAGAAGAGCAAAGTAGACAAATACATGCTTTATATTTGTACATAATTTCCAGAATTCAGTAGGAGCAGGACAAGCCTGGATAGACCTGTTTCTGAAATGACACTTTTTTTTTTCCAGCTCCACTGTCTTCCATTAGACTCTACTCTAGCAAACAAGTATTGCATCTTTTTAGAAAGGACACAACATTTTATTTTCAAAATTAAAAGGAATAAAGCATCTACAGCCTTTAGGAAGTAGTTTCTGACTTCCATTATTAAGTACTCCATTCAGTTGTAGCAGTTAATGACTTCTCTTTCCCCTCTATCATTTCCATGTCAGTAATAATCATCTGTAGCTTAAGTTCCATTTATTCTAATATTGTTTTCCTGTGCATAGACCATTGTTGATACTCACGGCTATATTGACTCACATGTTCTGTTAACCTGTATATATTACTGTACTTTATGAACTGATAACCTCATAGTTGATGTAGGAGCAGAATTTAGCTCACTCTATACATTTAATGTTCCATGGTTATACTGTTGTGGTCAGGCCTTATTTTTATATGTAGTTCTTTGAGGCTTTCAGTTATTCTTGTTCATCAACCCCGAACCATTTCTAGCTCTGGTTCATCAGCCTTCTTCCCCCTTTATTTGGATCCTAATGGTGATTACTGAAGCATTCTTGCTAACCTCCATAATTGCTTATTTCTTTTTACCCATTAAAGAATAGCTTGACCAGTCTTCTATTTTCCCAACTTCTGCTTCCAGACCTTTTAGATTGCTGAGATTTGCCAGTTAGGGAACCATGCCCTATAAAATTGGCCACAAAAGCACACTAAATTGGTGATCTTGTAAACAATTTTTTTCTGATTTTTATTTTACCAAAGCAGTACATGCACATGCACAGTACAATTTTAATGGACAAAAAAGATATTCCTTTTTTTCATTCTTAGACATTATTCTTTGTCTTTGAAAAATTCTTCTTCTCTAATTTTTTTTCGTGGAAGTAATATTACTTCTTATAGTATTACTTCTTTAATAGCTCCATCGTCTTATACTATCATTTTTTTCTTCCCCTTGTTTTGCCTTTTGGAGAGTTTCTTTTCTAAGCTTTCTCTCTTTTTCCTAATTTTTAAAATTCCTGATTCCATTTTTAATTATAAATACTTATTTTTTTGTGTTCTTGATTTTCCTTCTTAGAACATGCTGTTCTTGTTTTATGGTTACAGTATCTTCCTTTGACAGTCTGCTATTATTTAGAGTTTAAAAAAATATTTGGTTTTGGTGTCTGTCTTTTACGTTGGAAGCTTTCTTTTAAATATTTGGGATCAGTTTCAGAAGATTCCATCTCTTACTGAGAATATTAGGATTTGGATCTCGATTATCACTGGCAACTTCCTCTGCCTCAACAATGCCTAGAGTCTCTCATTTTAGAATCTGTTTGGTCCAGTTTCTACAAAAGGACTCAGCTTTCACATGGATGAGGGGGGATTATTGTTTAGCTGCTTAGCACAGGGAAGAATATATGTGGACTTTACTCCCTTTATGTAATAAACTTGATTCAATTCTACTTCTTACCCTGTGCTTTCTTAGGTATTAGCCTTTCAAGTATTTTATGGAACTTTGTAGAACATTATTTGTTTCCTCTACTTTGCATATCCGAAGTTACCAGCTTTTGCCTCTCAGACAGGTCAGTCATTTCCTTTTTTTTTAATATTTATTTATTCATAAGAGACGGGGGGGGGAGAGAGAGAGAGAGAGAGGCAGAGACACAGGCGGAGGGAGAAGCAGGCTCCATGCACGGAGCCTGATGTGGGACTCGATCCTAGGACTCCAGGATCACACCCTGGGGTGAAGGCAGGCGCTAAACCGCTGAGCCACTCAGGGATCCCAGGTCAGTCATTTCCAATGTACTGTGGATTCTTTGGTTCTTTGTTCTTTTGAGTTTTTACTTTTATCTCTTCAGTGTGGTTCTGTTGTAGTTTTGGGAGGAAATGGAGATGCATACTTGGATCCATCCTCCTATGCTTAAAAGTAATACCATTTATGATCTTCTTATTGATTCTTTAACACATTTCTTATTTTTGTATTTCTCTTAAAGTTGGCAACCTCATCTGAGCCATATCCATAACTAATAACAACATTTCATAATTTATGAAAATAATGATTTCAACAAACTTCCCCTAGGGTATGCAATGTGGTCGATTCTTAAGAATAGAAAGAGACAGTCCTTGTTACCAAATAACTTAGAACATTTCTGGTTAAATGAAAAAATTTAAATTGTTACATTGTTTAGATACTCCAGTTATATTTAGAAAAAGTATTTTACATTGTTAGTATGCATTTAAATAGCCACTTATAAAGTCACTTTTCTACATGCTTCATGTGTAACATTACATGCTTTGATCACCCTAGCAATCCTATGAATTTGATGTTTTTTAATCTTAATTTTACAGAGAAGAACCCAAGGGAATGGTGAAGTTGTTTTTTGGAGGTACCATGAAGGCATTATTAGACTCCAGAGTCTTTGAGTTCCAATTCCACCTTCTTAGGATCTATTGTGCTGAGGATGCCATAGGAATATACTTAATTCAGCCTGACAATGATAAAAGTTTGGAGAAGAGGTCTAGGAGAGATTGTGCTCAACCCAGTCTTTGAGACATTGGGTTAGCTGAGTGGAATACCATTTTAAGAAGTCTTCTTAGCTCAAGATTTAACTGTATCTTTCCATTTCTCCTCTTTATTCTCCTCTGTTTTTGAGAAAGAAAATGTTCATCCTCAGTTCAGCTCCAGAAACATTTTTTGATGCTCTGCCATTTGCCTTACCATAGCTCATTCCTTCATTTGAGTTTATGATCTCCTTTTTTTAAAATGGCATAGGCTATTGCTCTATCCTGACTGATTTCATTTCTTCCTCTTTAGTCTTCAGTATGCTGGAACCTGGCTTCTTTCATTGCATACTAAAGTAAAGTAGATGTTTACCTTCTTCTTAGGAAGACCAACAGATTTTTTTATGCCCTTCTTTTATTAGATTTCTTTGCTATATTTAATAGTGGCAGTCATCCCTTTTTGGAATGTTTTGGCGCTTTCCGTTTTATACACTGTCTCTTCTCACTTGCTTCATTGCTTTTCACCCCTCCTACAATCATTACTCCTTATGATTTTAAGTTCCCTAACATTTTATCTTTGGTGAATTTATATTTTGAACTACTATCTTTTACGTAAAGACTTCCTAGTTATTGACACCTTTCCTTGCCCCAAGGTGCAAATCTCTGGAGTGATCTAATAGGTATCCCCACTTGGATTTCCAAAAGCTATCTCTGATTCAATCTAAAAGAAAACTCATTATATCCTCTAAAACTGTTTCTCCTTTCTTTTAAATAAAAGTGGACCTATTGCCAACCTTGTAATCAAAGCTAAAAATGACACAACCATTTGTGAGTTCTCCCTTGCCCTCTGAATCTAACCATTATATGTTTATCTCCTCAAAATACACACAAGCAGGTATACTTTTCTGTTTCTCCCTCCTTCCCACTCTCCTCCCATCCTTGCTACCACTGTCCTGCTTTTGGCTGTCTTCATCTCTCACTTAGGCCTCTGTTGACAGTATCCTAACTGGCCTTACCTTCTTAAGTCTATTTCCCACAGTAGGCAAAATATGTAAAATCCGTATCTGATCATATTCCTCTGCTGAAACCATTCCTGTGGCTCGCCATCAACTACACAATCAAAGCTCAGCAAACTTTTTCTGAAAAGAGTCAGATAGTAAATTATTTAAGCTTTGCAAGCCAGATCATCTTTGCCACAACTCAGTTCTACCCTTTTAGTGGGAAAACAGCCACAGATAATCTATAAGTGAATACATGTGGCTGTGTTTTAATAAAACTTTATTTATAAAAACAGGTGATGATGTGGATTTGGCCTGTAGGCCATAGTTTAAGATCTCTTATGATTTGAATTTTAAATTCCCTAACCAGGGCATTAAGAGCACTGCAGGTTATGGCCCCTTTTTTTTCTTTTGCATACCTACCTAACATCAACCACAATCTTACTTTTTACACTATGTTTATTCCTCTAATACTCTCTGTAGACATCAGTCCTTGCTGTTTCAGAGTTGTTTTGCAGCAGTCTCTTTATAAATCTGTTTGCTTTTCTGGTCATCGATGTCATAGTTATTTTTGTCTTGTAAATTCCCTGTTTCTAGATTGCACATGTTTTGAGAGCAGAGAGAGTGACAACTGTATATCCCATGCAGCAGTAGCATACTCTTTACACAAAATAGGAAATTAATAAATTTATTTGAATCCAGTCATTATTTAAACCATGTATTTTTTTTAAAATTAGAATTATGATGTAACTCAATTTATTATTTGTTTTAAATTTCTAGAGACAAATAAAAAGTGGTGTGTTTTGGAAGGAGGGTTCTTGAGTTACTATGAAAATGATAAGTCTACCACGCCTAATGGCACCATTAACATCAGTGAAGTTATCTGCCTGGCTGTACACAAAGAAGACTTCTATTTAAATACGGGGTAGGTCTACTATTAAACAGGTAGGAGATGAAGAATATTTCCTGATATTTACCATACCAGACAATAAGAGTTTTATTACTTTAATTCTTCATTTGCTTGTTGTAGAGAGTTTAATATATTTTTTTAAAGATTTTATTTATTTATCCATGAGAGACATGAGAGGTAGAGATACCCTGTGGGGATCCTGGTGCCTTACTCCATCCCAGAACTCCAGAATCCTGATCTGAGCTGAAGGCAGATTCTCAACCACTGAGCCACCCAGGTGCGCCTGAGTTTAATAGTTTCTTGAAGCCTAGTCATTTGAAAGTTCTGAAAATTCCTTAGGGAATTTGCTAAAAAGTAGAAAAATTAAAATATCATACTAGGTTCTATGAAATGCTAATGTATTTGCATCTAATCTTAAATAAATTTATAACATTCCATTCTAGAACATGTCCTAAAATTTTTATAATTTACTCATTGTTTAAAATGGTGGAGTAATAGGAACATTTATGCGTTCATTTAATGCATTATCATTCAAAGGAAAATACTCAGTAATGACTTATTTGCATTAAAATAAACTAAATATATTTAATACTATATTGAAATGCTAAATTCCCCAAAGATTTACTTTAGCATTTTAATGGTTTCTTTAAAGATGCAATTAAAAGAGTAAGCATTATTTATTTAATATATTTGACTCAAAGAATGGTTTAATACATTTTTTTGTGAGGACTTCTAAAAACAAATCATCTAAGATACTTGGTGTGAAAGTTATATTTTGTAATGTAGTTAATGAAAAACTATAAATATGAAAACCTGCATAAATCAGTTTTATAGGAACATCGTATTTTAATATAAATTTTATGAGAATAGGAAGAGATTTGCAAAACTTCTATTTAAGTAAAATGACGCTTAACATCATAGTATCATTAATATATGCTGACCGGTATATACTAGTTAAAGTGACTACTGTTTTCTAGTTTAGCTTGATACATTTATGCCAAGAAAACTGATTATTAATTGATTCTGTTTTTGTTTTAATCTTAATAGTGCTTTTATTTCTGAAAAAATAATATATGGCTTACTGTGAAATATTAAAATAAATACATTCTAATATTTAATTGCTTAATTAGTAAATATAATTTAAAATATTACTAGTTTATGTCAGCATGTAATCATATTCAAAAATAAAACATTCTTGAAAGAATGTTCTTGATATAAGTAGAAATGCAGGGATCCCTGGGTGGCGCAGCGGTTTGGCGCCTGCCTTTGGCCCAGGGCGCGATCCTGGAGACCCGGGATCGAGTCCCGCATCGGGCTCCTGGTGCATGGAGCCTGCTTCTCCCTCTGCCTGTGTCTTTGCCTCTCTCTCTCTCTCTGTGTGACTATCATAGATAAATAAACATTAAAAAAAAAAGAATTTAAAAGAAATGCAGGAGAAACCATGTACAGTGAAATAAATTTTTTGTTTGTTTTGTTTTACTGAAATAAGGTTAAAAAATAATTATTGCAGCCAAGCTTTGAGTTTCCTGAACTAGCACTTTATAAAGTTTGAACTCAGTAATGTAGACATTGAGAAGTTACATAGATTTGTATTCAAGGAAGAAAGCTAGCTCAAGTGGTGAGAGATAGGAGGAAGAGAGTCCACAATTACTTAGAGTTTACCAAGAGGAAAAGATCATGAAAAGAAAGAAAAAACAAAACAAAACAGTGAGTTTAATTGTATGATTGGACTAAAGAGATTAACTGTCTGAACTGTCTGGTTGAAAAGCTGCTGTGAATAAATCCCAAGGTTTTGAGCGTAATAAAATATATGGTGATACATCTAAATTGAACCATGAGGCACATACAACCAGTGTGGGATAAAAAAGAGGAAGAAGGAAGAGACTTTGATGTAGGGTATTTTGAAATTTTTTTTTTTTAGGTAACAGCAGCAATGTTAACATGTTCTAGGAAAGAGTTGGAGCTGTGGATGAGGGCCCCAGGGAAGAATTTAGGACCTGAGATGTTACTCTAATTTGATCTGCAGTAAGGAGATAAAATTTTGGGATAATATGAGATAATGGGAGAAAAATTTGTGAAGACAAGAAGAGGGCTGATTAGAGAATGGTTTGAATGTGTTTGCTTTAAACAGAATGTCAAGGTGGCCTGGACTGAGAGGGAGGAGGAGTCCAAAGAGAGCGCTTTGTCACATCAGTCAACTGAAGAGTACCTGGGGCATTATTAACATAGTCATGTAGTCCAATGATTAAGTAATTAGAAGAATATTCCTTTTGTCTGATCCAGCGTATTCCATTTATTCAAATGAATTAAACTATAAATCAGTGGAAGAATATGATAGATTTCAAAACATTATCCAGTTTTCAAAGAGAATTTAATTAAAAGTTTAACTTTTGTGTTACTTGTTTCCATAAAAGCCAGACATAAACAGTGGTATCTTTTTATTCATGTGTGCCATAGGCCCATCTTTACCTTTGAGATCTATTTACCCTCAGAACGTGCATTTTTATTTGGAGCTGAAACATCTCAAGCTCAAAGAAAATGGACAGAGGCAATAGCCAAGGTATTTAAAAAATTGCATATTCACCCTAAACCAGAGAATATTCTTAACTTGGAGTCTCTGATTGAGTTTCAGAGATTCATAAAAATTTTATACAAGATTCTGGGGAAATGTCCATACTTCATTAAGTGTTCAAAGGTTATGGTCAAAAGAGATTAAGAGTTTTCTTCCTAGAGCTTTAAGCAGAGAAAAAAATAATGTAGGACCTTTGAGGAATCATTCTTTGAATTGAGACCATGTTGTGATGATTAAGATTTTTTCACTATTGTAAAGTCATTTCTATGAATGTTTCTTTATAGGAAGTTATGTTATTCATAGTATACACAAAGGGGAAAGGAATAGATTCAGTAAGAGATAGAAATAGAGACAAACATTGAGGGTTGACATTTTGAAAGATGCCATAAATCAGCATAGAGAATATCTTCCTATTTCAATTCTGTATATATAAAAAAAAGTGGTTTAAGATCCTGCCATTTGAAAATGCATTATATCTGTGCATTTTTAAGATTGATAGGCTTAAATAATTGTTGTGAAATTTGGGTTACTTCTAAATTTTTAAGGTACAGAAACTATTTTTTTATTTTTCTACCTTCCCTCAAATACATAGTTGGGAAGGGATTTCCTATTTGCACTGTCTTTATTACTTTTCTGTATTTGTCTTAACAGCATTTTGTTCCCTTTGTTGCTGAAAACTTAACAGAAGCTGATTATGATTTGATTGGTCAACTCTACTACAAAGACTGCCATGCCCTGGATCAGTGGAGAAAAGGCTGGTTTTCTATGGAAAAATCTAGTTTGCGTTTTTGTCTCCAAATGCAAGAAGTTCAGGAAGATAGAATGCACTTAAGAAGACTGCAAGAACTAAGTGAGATGATTTTTCCTGTATTTTGGATGTAATTCTTTTATTGCATATAATAGTAGCTTTTAGATAAAATTAGGACACCTTACTTCCAAACATGATTAAGTCGTATTAATAATTGTTTTTATGGGTTTTAATGTCAAGTTTTAAATGATAGATTTACGTGTTTCTCCTCTTCCTCCAGCAATCAGCACAGTGGTTCAAAATGGGGAAAAAATGGATGTCTTGCTCTTGGTAGAAAAAGGGAGGTAAGAACATTTTTGTTTTTTATTCCTTATTACAGTAACTCTAGGAAGTGTAGGTTGTTTTGGTTATTTTCTTTGAGGGAGAGCCCACTCTTTTATAGCCTGTTGGAAATTTTCCGAAGTATGTGTACATGTATGTCCATACACACACACACACATACACAATACAGTAGGTATTGGGGATATAGTGCTGAATGAAATGGAGATGATTTATACCCCCATGAAGCATGTGCACTAGTGGCAGAAATAGAATATAAGCAGACAAAAAATACATAGTATCATGTCCATCAATTTTAAATGCTTGAAGAAAAATAAGGTGAAGAGAGAGCCTGATGGAGTAGTATTCTGTTTTAGAGAGGGTGGTAAGAGAGAGTATCTTTGATTGGAGATGTGTATAAGGTCTAAAGTAGCAAAACACGAAGCAGTCTGAATGGAGCTTTCCAGTTTAAGGTCAAGGATATTTTGAAGACCCTAACAGTGTGCTGTAATTAGCATGTTCACAGTCTGCAAGCAAGCTGCTATTGGCAGCTTGAATCTTCAGATGAGTTTGAGAGTGGAAAGAAATTATTTTAGAGAGCTCCCTGGGCCTGATCATAGAGGCCCTGACAGGTCATGATATGTATAGATTTGAATTTTATTCTAAGCATAATGGGAAGCTGCTCATTTTGAGAGCCAGAGTGTGATCTCACTTAGGTGTTTAAAGGGCTACTCTGACTTCAGGTGAATAAGCTTTTGGGGTACAAGAGTGAATGTGAGTGTCCAGTTAGGATGCTGCTACAGAGGCTGGGCAAGAGATAGCAAACATAATGAAATAGTGTTGAGGACTGGTTGGAGTTGCTGTGAAGACAAATGCCAGAGGGTGTGTTGATGGATTAGATGAGTGCAAGAGTTAAGGATACCCCAAGATTTGGCCTGAGTAAGTACATGAATGATAATGCTGCTTTTCTCCAAATAACAAATATAGGAGAGTAAGGTTAGAATATTAGTAAGTTTAGTGTAGTAGATTGAGAATTTGATATTGAAAATGATACCTTTGAGATGTCTATTTGGTAGCAAAGTGGGGCTGTTGAGTGGGCAAGTGAATATACAAGTCTGAAATTAAGTGGAGAGGTGGTGACTGGAGATGGAGATTGAGAGTCATCAGCACATTGATGATATTTAGCCAAGGAACTGTTTGGATTCACCTAGATGAAAGACACCTGTCTTTTCTTCCATTTCATGGAAAGACATCAACAGCTTAGACAGCAAGCATATTGCTGATTATTTATGTCAGTGAGTGTTTTTTAATTTAGTGGCATAATTAGTATTCTGTGTTTTTATTTGCTTATTTCTGGGATTATAATGGTTCATGATAGTTGAGATTCTGATTTTTGGTTGATGGTTTCACTGTAATTTCAGAGTACTTTTGATTATATGTTCACAAATCACAATGAGGTAGTATTATGTTTGGATAGTATTACCATTAAAGAACTAGCACAATGCAGTTTTTACAGTCATCCATTCATATTTACAGAATTCCTGTTGCCTCCTACTTTAATGGTAAAAAAATTATCAGCAGTTTGGATTTGGAGTCTGAACTCCCTAAAACTTATTTTTTTAAAACAAATAAACCAATAGCAACTTGTTAGTTGAACTTATTGTATTTATCATTTATATTATCAGATTATTATAGCCAAGGTATTTTTTTTTCATGACCATTTTCAGGCTAAGATGGATTTGACCAGTGGTATGTAGGTTTCAATTAAAATGTTGCAAACATGAATTAAAATGTAGCAAACAGGGATTGGAATAATTCTAATCAATTTGATGACTTTTTATTTAATGCTCACTGCATACATACAGTGCCCTCCCTTATGATGCAAAATAGGGAAGCCAGAAAACCAAATGTTTTGTTTTTTTGTAACATCTTGACCTTTCTGCCGGAGGGAGTATAGGAGTCAGTAGTTGAACTCAGATACACTACACTTGGAGTTCACAGAATAGTTGAAAATTAATGTAATTGCAAAATAATGGTCAGAGCTGCTTAATCATGTTTTTGATGATAATTTCAAAATTTTTATCTACATGTTATTAACAAGTTATGTTGAAAGCATTTTTACTAAAGAACAAGGAATGTGTCAGAGAAATACAGGGGCAAATATATAACCAAGTTATTTCCCTTAAGTCTCTTTGAACAGCTGCCATACAAAATGTACCATTTGAAAACAACTCTATTTATCACATACCTACATCCTGCTTTTACTTGCTTTTCTTATTTTCTCCAAATCAATAATATTCTGACAACAACAAGAATACGATGAGAATGTGTATAGAACTCGCTATGTATCAGGCACTATTCAAGCACTTTAACAGCCTTCCAGTGCCTGTATGATGTTGAGGAGCATAATCTGTTACCTCTAAGATAAAGCTGCCAGTTATTTCACCAGCAAAAATGGGTTTACTGGGGACAGAGGATTACAATTAGGAACAAGCATGCTGCAGTGAAAGCGTAAACAAGTCCAGAGAACAAAAGAAAAGGAGTGATTCTGGGGGACTTGGGAGTGGGGGACTTTTATAAACAAAGAGTCTTGTGGAGTAAAACTGGCAATTTATAGTGGCTTTTCATTGAGTGGTAATGGTTTCTTTTTTTTTAAATAAATTTATATTTTATTGGTGATCAATTTGCCAACATACAGAATAACACCCAGTGCTCATCCCGTCAAGTGCCCCCCTCAGTGCCCGTCACCCATTCACCCCCACCCCCCGCCCTCCTCCCCTTCCACCACCCCTAGTTCGTTTCCCAGAGTTAGGAGTCTTCCATGTTCTGTCTCCCTTTCTGATATTTCCCACCCATTTCTTCTCCCTTCCCTTCTATTCCCTTTCACTATTATTTATATTCCCCAAATGAGAATATAATGTTTGTCCTTCTCTGATTGACTTACTTCACTCAGCATAATACCCTCCAGTTCCATCCACATTGAAGCAAATGGTGGGTATTTGTCGTTTCTAATGGCTGAGGAATATTCCATTGTATACATAAACCACATCTTCTTTATCCATTCATCTTTCGATGGACACCGAGGATCCTTCCACAGTTTGGCTATTGTGGACATTGCTGCTAGAAACATCGGGGTGCAGGTGTCCCGGCATTTCACTGCATCTGTATCTTGGGTAAATCCCCAGCAGTGCAATGGCTGGGTCATAGGGCAGGTCTATTTTTAACTCTTTGAGGAGCCTCCACACAGTTTTCCAGAGTGGCTGCACTAGTTCACATTCCCACCAACAGTGTAAGAGGGTTCCCTTTTCTCGCATCCTCTCCAACATTTGTGGTTTCCTGCCTTGTTAATTTTCCCCATTCTCCCTGGGGTGAGGTGGTATCTCATTGTGGTTTTGATTTGTATTTCCCTGATGGCAAGTGATGCAGAGCATTTTCTCATGTGCATGTTGGCCATGTCTATGTCTTCCTCTGTGAGATTTCTCTTCATGTCTTTTGCCCATTTCATGATTGGATTGTTTGTTTCTTTGGTGTTGAGTTTAATAAGTTCTTTATAGATCTTGGAAACTAGCCCTTTATCTGATAGGTCATTTGCAAATATCTTCTCCCATTCTGTAGGTTGTCTTTTAGTTTTGTTGACTGTATCCTTTGCTGTGCAAAAGCTTCTTATCTTGATGAAGTCCCAATAGTTCATTTTTGCTTTTGTTTCTTTTGCCTTCATGGATGTATCTTGCAAGAAGTTGCTGTGGCCAAGTTCAAAAAGGGTGTTGCCTGTGTTCTCCTCTAGGATTTTGATGGAATCTTGTCTCACATTTAGATCTTTCATCCATTTTGAGTTTATCTTTGTGTATGGTGCAAGAGAGTGGTCTAGTTTCATTCTTCTGCATGTGGATGTCCAATTTTCCCAGCACCATTTATTGAAGAGACGTCTTTCTTCCAGTGGATCGTCTTTCCTCCTTTATCGAATATTAGTTGACCATAAAGTTCAGGGTCCACTTCTGGGTTCTCTGTTCTGTTCCATTGATCTATGTGTCTGTTTTTGTGCCAGTACCACACTGTCTTGATGACCACAGCTTTGTAGTACAACCAGAAATCTGGCATTGTGATGCCCCCAGCTATGGTTTTCTTTTTTAAAATTCCCCTGGCTATTCAGGGTCTTTTCTGATTCCACACAAATCTTAAAATAATTTGTCCTAACTCTCTGAAGAAAGTCCATGTTATTTTGATAGGGATTGCATTAAACATGTACATTGCCCTGGGTAACATTGACATTTTCACAATATTCTGCCAATCCATGAGCATGGAATATTTTTCCATCTCTTTGTGTCTTCCTCAATTTCTTTCAGAAGTGTTCTATAGTTTTTAGGGTATCTTATTGGCTGGGCAGTTGCTGGGGCGAGAAAAACCTTTCTTCCTCATGCCTGAGTAGTAAAGAAGTATTTGTGGTAGTATGGACTTGCCAGATTCCCGTCCTGTTGGATCTGCAATTAACCAACTAGTAGTTTTTCGTGAGAACTCCTCTTTATGGCCTCTTGACTCTATTCTAAACAAGATTTACTTTTATTAATTTTCACAAATCCATTTTGAAATCAAGGTGTGGTCAGTTTATAACTTAACAACCTAAAGGTTCTTTTCTTTTTAAAACAAGAATTAAGTTTAACTTACCAACACCAAATTATTCTCAAGAATAAAGTAAAAAAATGTACCAGGATCCTGGATAGGTTACCAGAACTTAAAATTTCAGCATTTTATGGGAAACTTTTATCAGAAAAAAATGATTTTGTCAGAAAAAAATATGTATATATCTCATTCTCCATATAAGTCTTACCTAATTAAATAGCAGAAAGAAAGGGGGTCAGAAGTGAGAATTGTTAAGAATGAGCCTGGGAGATTAGGAGTGTTCTGGTTATAAATCCTGACAGAACAAAGAGAATGAAGATGTACCAGCAGTGGCACCTTGTGTGGGGCAAAGTAGGCTTTAATATTTATATGTCTGTGTATGTATATATACATGTGTACATACATATTT